ATGAGGTTCCGTCTTTTTTTCTGTATTGGAACTCTTTTCGCTACAGCTGTGACCTTGGGGCCCGCTGTAAAAACGGTTGCTGTCCTGAGAAAAAAAGAGGGAATGAAAATAGTAAAATACACATCGGAGCTTTCTCGTTTGGTGTAAGATATTTGGTATTGTTTTCCTGTGTTCTTCGTCAGCAATTGGTTGTTTACTGGAGATATGTTTGCGCTGGCAGGCTTGTGTGTGTGTGTGTGTGTGTGTGTGTGTGTGTGTGTGTGTGTGTGTGTGTGTGAGAGAGAGAGAGAGAGAGAGATCTGTAGATGGATACTTATGTAGACCCCGAATATCTCATTGACATGTCCACGAGTGCGGGCGAAGTCGCACTGGCTTTACTTGTGTATTGTTCTTGGGAAAGTTCACCAATGTCAACGAGGGGGAACAACGAAGATGCCCGCTGCAGGCACTTTTGAAATAATGGAATCGCCTCTTTTCTTGGGCTTAGCTCGGTACACCCATGAACTGTTGAAAACCAGACTCAAGTTCGAATCCATCAACAGTCAGATGAACAGAATTAATAGAATCGCGCCTTTTGTTTGTAAATTAATGTACTCATTCGCTGGGTTGCCTGGCTGGAGCCCAGACTCTCTGCCTGTCCAGGTGGCCTGCCGGGGTCAGGTCCGGCCAAGGTAGGGGCAAGGTCGTGTGTCAGGTCCAGGGCAGTCCCAGCACAAAATCGAAAGGGAAAAAAAGAATTCAGTGAAATTTATCTGAAAACATGTTTTAGAGAATTGCAGCACAAACAACTTTCGACCGAGGGTTATTCAGAATCCCTCGTCAAGTTGAAGATGTTGCAGTAGTAGAGGAAGGACCAACCGATTTCAAACACTGGCTGAGGCGACCTTTGATAGTTCCAAGCAATATCTGGCCATTACTTGGCAACATGCTGTTCATATTTTGAGCGGAGGGGTTGGTGGAGGCCCTGCATTTATTTTTCAAATGGCTGGCAGGCAAATATCTCCTCAAGCGCCCGGTTGAAATTGGCACCAGTACCGGTTGGGTGGGCTGTTGTGTTGGACCTGCCAGGGCCGGCTGTAAAATTAGACGAGCCATGTGGGTGAGTTGGTAGAGCCTCAGGACATGCTTGGGTGGTCGGTCTTTTCGAAAATGAAAACGCGTGACCAGGGGTGCAAAAAAGAAATCAGAGAGAGAAAAAAAATGAAAAGAGGACTCAGAAGAGTTCTGAAATGGAAAGAAAAAAAAAAGAGACCCGCGCCACTGAAGAGAGAGACCCTTGCACAGTGGCGCGGGTGGCGGGCTCCGAGTTAGGTGCTAGCTCCACTACTCTCCAAATGTAGAAAGTAGGAATGAATCGTCCGCTTGAACATGGAAAGATACACCGCCATATTCTTTGTCTTTTATGCTGTCGAGAGTATTGAAGTGAGGGGTCACAGGACATCTAATCATCTCTGTATTTTGGCCATCTGCTTGTCAGAGAAGATTAGCTCAAGCAGATGACCAATACAGAGAAGGTTAGCTGCGCTGTGCCCCATCGCTCCCAACTTTCCACATGCACAAAGACAAAAAATATGGCAGCGTATCTTTCCATGTACACACAAAGTCTGAACTCCTGTCTCCAGTTCGTCCTGTTTGCCATTGTGTTTTACCTCGCTTCAATAATTTCCCGGCGAAGCCTGAGGTTTTTTGCATGTGTTGCAGCTGCTGCTGTTGGTTGTGGCAGTGATGGTATTTCACTTTCACCGTAAAGCTCCTGCTTATAATTTCCCAGTGAAGCCTGATTTTTTTGCATGTGCCGCAGCTGTTGCTCTTGCTTGCGGCAGTGATGGTATTTCACTTACGCNGTGAAGCCTGATTTTTTTGCATGTGCCGCAGCTGTTGCTCTTGCTTGCGGCAGTGATGGTATTTCACTTACGCTGTAAAACTCCCACTTATTCTACACCTCTCAAGTTATTTCACAGAGTCGAACTAGAGTCAAGCTCAGCGGGGTCTTCTTTGCTTGCGAAGTCGTGTTTTCGGAGAAGTCGTTTCACGGAGTCGAACTGGAGTCGAGCTCAACAGAGTCTTCTTTGCTTGTGGCAGTCATGTTTTCAGAGAATCGTACTTTTGTGCTGACCAGCTTTATGCTTATTGTCTTGCAGGCTGATATGGAAGTCCGGGATAAGGCCCTCAGCCTGCTCGATGCATGGCAGGAAGCATTCGGTGGTCGCGAGGGCAGATACAACCAGTTCTGGGAGGCATATGACACTGTCAAGGTAAATGTGCGAACGAGGTGTGTCGAAGTGACTTCTGCTATTAATGGTCAGCCGTTGTGTTATGGTGAGGTTGGATAGAGGGTGCTGCTGTTAATGGTCAGGTGTTGTGTTACGGTGGAGTTAAGAGGGTGGAGGCGGGGAAACAAATGGCTCTGTGTCAAGAGTAGGAATAGGGACTGGGGACTCACATCGTGTCTGTTCTCGATACCTCTATTTCGTGAACCTAAGCCTGTACCTCATCCAGACCTCTTTTTTACGAGGGTGCCCATGATGTGTGCCAAATGAAAAAACGAACTGCCATGGGTCAGGCCATTTTGGTGGTGGGGCCAGCCATTTTGGTCCGGTAGCCCCAAACCTTGAATCTTTTGGAAGTAGAGAGAGAGTTTGGGGATGTTCAAAAACACACCCACACACACATACACGTGCACACACACTCACACACACACAAACACAAACACACACACACACACACACACACGCTCGCGCGAGCCCTCACACATGCACACACACACACACAGAGGCATGCCCACGTGCACCTTTTTCTTTATTTTTTTAATTATCAATCAATCAATCAATCAATCAATGGATCTTTTTTTTCCCATTCTTTTTTCCTTTTTTTCCTTTTTTTCCTTGCAGTCAATCAATCAATCAATCCATCCGTTCATCCATTTATCCATCAGTCCATCAATTAATCAAGTCGATCAATCCTAAACAATCAATCAATATATATAGATTTTTTCCTTTTTCTGAACCCTGCCACACGGTAGAAAAAGTTTTTTTTTTGAGCTTTTTTTTGTCATGCGGGGGCTCGGCCCACCCCCCAGAACGGGAATCGGGAAGGGGKCGTGGCATACCCTCTCCCCCCCCCCCCCCCCCCCCCCCCCCCCCCGGCCATGTGGTGGTCGTTCCTGTCCATGACGGGGACCCCCAGTTGCAGCTTAAGCCGAACACAGAGATCGTATGTTTGTCAGTCCCATCGGGCTGTAGGACCCGTGAATTACTGTGACCACCACTGGGAGTGATGTGGCCATTTCCTGGGAACAGAAATGGACGGCAGGTGTGTGTCTGAGGAAGTGATGAAATGCTGGAAATAAATAGCTGCAGCGGACGTGTGATGTGGAATCCATTACGCGCTTGTGATATAGGGTAGACAGCCAACTTGCTTTTCATTGTTCAGCAGCTGGAATTAGATGGCTAGACTGTAATAAACCTATATCATGAGGGGATACAAAGGCTCAGACAATTGTGAGATTGTTGCATCCATGTGTCTTTGCTCTCTCTCTCTCTCTCGCTGTGTGTGTGTGTGTGTGTGTGTGTGTGTGTGTGTGTGTGTGTGTGTGTGTTACACGCTGAGCTTGCACGGGCCCGACGGTTGCTGGGGGCCCCCAGGCCGCACTCCCTTCGGACGCGCGCCCCAGAGGCCGACGGCTGGCCCTTAGGCTGCAGGATTCGATTCGACGCAGCATTTATTTATTTATTTCTTTGTTTGCTGTCCTATTTTTGTCTGTTCAGGCATCGTTTCGGACCTGCAGTTCCCAAGGCCACGCCTTGGGCCAGGTATGCCAGGAGGCAGGCCTCCCCTGTCCAGGTACAGGGTCTGGACGTCCGGTCGGGACCCAGACCCTATAGGCCCATGTTTTGGGCACACGCACTGAGGCAGACCAGCCAGCGCAGGGCTACCTATAGCTGGGCCATGGCTGGACAGACACACGGTTGGAGTAGCTCACTTCTAGGGCGACACGTTGCTGGAGCAGCGCTGTGACACTACGCTAGGAGGTAGAGGTAGAGGTGTAGGTAGGCAGAGAGGCGGAGACCATACCTGCGTTGGCGGTACTTACCTGGGCGCCATAGCTGTGCCCCACGCCAGCGACCTGCACAGGGACCACGGCGACAGTCAGTACATGGCGGCTGTTACCTGCAGGCGAGACAGTGAGAAGGACGACATCTTCTCGCCCTCCATCTCGTCTACCTCCTTTCTCCTTCTCCGTCTTTTTTTTCTTCTTTAGAGAGAGAGAGAGAGAGAGAGAGAGAGAGAGAGAGAGAGAGAGAGAGAGAGAGAGAGAGAGAGGTTACATTGGGCCTCAGTCCGAGGATCTGATTCAACATTTTTGTGGCAGACATTGATTGGACATTCGGCAGGGAGACTATTTTTGGACTTCGCTATCGCGATCTTGGTCTTCTCCCTTACCTCCATCTTCTTCTCACCTCTCCCCCCATCTCTCATCCATGGTATCTCCCCCATGTGCGTGTGCAAGGAGGGACCTTTCTTCTGTGTATGCGGTCCTTCCTCCCTCACTCACATGTGTGGTGTATGATGGGATGTTGCGTCAGTATCTGACAGCTCAGGCATTGTGCTATTTTCATATGTATCTGGATTCATTACTTTGCGGATCCTTGGCTCCATATACAATGCTCGACTGAGCATGTATCAGTTGGTATCGGAGGTATCGCTAGTGAATCAGGATATACCTGACCTAACATGCGAAGTAGAGGATCAATCGAGCGAGCGATTGATTGATTGGTTGATTACGAACGATTGATTGATTGGTTGATTACGAAGGATTGATTAATTAATTGATTGATTGATTAGGCTACCCTAATTAGTCCGCCTTTGCGACTCATGACGTAACTGCCAATTCCAAAAGAAATTGTGTTTCTTTTCGGAATTCTTTCTTTAGTGCAGATTCGTTTTTTCTGAAATTGTTGTAAATCCGAAATTGCGCAGTAGCGGAAATTTTTTGTTCTTTTTTGTTTTTAATTTGAAAATCCGCTGCTTGACAAATCCGATTTTTTTTTTTTTTTTTCGTTTCGTAATTCTTTCCTTGGGTACCGAACTTGCCATTTTAAGTTTTTTTATTTTTTTGGAAATTATTATTATTTAAGCAAAGTTCGAACTTTTCAAACTTGATTAGTGGCTCCTTATCTGGGCAATCAGTGTGACCCCATGGGGGTGGGGGAGTGCTAGTATATTACCTCTCCTACTTTCCCCTCTCCCACCCACCCCATCTACGCTGCTATCTCTCTCTACTACTCTTCTCTCTCCTCCCACCTGTCTTCTGCTTCACACTGCTGCAGCATTGCTGAGTTGCCACGTCAGCAGCGAGACGTCGGCCGACAGCCGTGCCACATCGGCAGCCGATCAGTACCATGTCAGCAGCCGATCAGTAGTCAGCAGTGGTTAGTGCCATGTCAGCAGTTCCACGGCAGATGGGCGTGCTCACCCGATGACAAATAGGTGACAGGGAGCAGAAGCAAGGGGAAACAACCAAGGCCTACAAAGCCTGGATGCTGACCTTGGTGGCAGAAGCGAAGCAGCGGGCAGACGTGGCGACAGCCGCACAGAAGAAAGAGGAGGAGGCAGAGAAACAACGTCATCTTGCGGAGGAACGATGACAGAAGCAAGACGCAGCAGCAGCGAAGGCTGCCGATGAGGAATGCATACAGCGACGCAACAAGATATTTGAGGAGGAAAACACACTACTTGCACTGGCTGTGGAATGGCGGACGGAGGCAGAAAGCAGGGACCTCAGCAACAGCGAGAGCAAGCTCTCAATTTTGCTTTCCCGCTTCACGGACCTCCTGGCTACCTGCATTGCACAGCAGGAGGACATCCACTGCCAGACCACACAGTCCATGACCACAAGCAGACGGTCGCACAGTTGACCAGCCACATACAGCTGCTGGAACAGCGACCCACTGCCACTCCAGATGCCGCCCCCTCCAACTACGGCGATCGCATCAACATTCTGGAGCATGACGTAGGCACTCTGCCACTCCAGACGTCGGCCTCTCCAACTACAGCGATCACATCAACATTCTGAAGCATGACGTAGGCACTTTAAAGGACGGCGCTCAGCGACAACGGGCAACAAATCAGCAGCTTGAACAGCAGATTGGTGCAGCAGCGGCGGTACTTAACTTGTCACCTCCCGAGCGCATACCAAAGTTCGATGGCCTTCAGATCTTCTGTGATGCAGCGAAGACCGAGCCTATTCCCTGGTGCCCGTTGGTGGCGCCAGTTTGAACTCGTACTGGACATCAACACGACCAGCGACCCCCGTCGACACGCGTATTTGTATCACCGTTCGGGGAGTGCATGCCAAGCATGGCTGGACAATATGCTATCCACTCACAAGGTCACAGTCTCCGAGCTGCACACAAAGATCAGTTGGCAGAAGGCAGCATGGCACAAGCGGTTCCAAGTGGAGCCGCCCGAGCGTCAGGCTATGGAGAAACTCCAAAAGTTCCACCAGAACACATTGCCAAGCGCGGATTGGATCACCGAGGACCAACTCTTGGCATCCATGGCGGACTTGCCACTCATCTTTTCGGGCATCAAGCAGTTCTTCATCACGCTGTTGTGCCCGACATTGCAGAACGCATTGGCGCAACTTGTTGAGACTCTCACCACAAAGTGAGGAACTCTTCAACAAGGCCTGGCAGATAGTTGTGACGAACATGGAGGCCCGTAATGCTGGCCGTTTGTCTTTTGCAGGCCAGGGAAAAGATCGGCATTGGGCGAAATTGGCAGCGGTCGTAGTTACAACGCCGACCAATTCTTCAAACGAGGCTGCTTCGTCGGACGAGGGAGACAGATCAGCGGCCGCCCGGGATGGTGGCCGCCCCACCAAAGGTCAGGGACGCGGCAGATCAAAGACAAGCACCGCATCATCCCCTAGGCCCGGACAAGCAGCTCAAGAACCTTGGTCACATTACGGTCTCTCTGAGGGCGTCTGTAAGATCCGCACGAGATACCGGTAGTGTTTATGGTGCAACAACGACCTTCATGAAGCGGTCAGCTGTCCCACAAGGGCCAAGGGAAAATCCCTTTAGGGAAAGCGAGCACCGCCGAGAGTGATACCGCTTTACTCTCGATGCCTTCGGAACCGGTTGCTTTGCGAGCGACCTCCCTTAGTTCCGAGGCACATGCGGAAGTCGTAAGTCCTATTCTTTTTTCTTTCCAGGACTTCGCTGCCCAGCTCATTCCATTGCTGGGATCT